TTATAATAAATACACAAGTTTTACAAAACACAAGTAACTTTATAATAAATACACAAGTTTTACAAAACACAAGTAACTTTATAATAAATACACAAGTTTTACAAAACACAAGTAACTTTATAATATATACACAAGTTTTACAACACACAAGTAACTTCAAAAACACAAGTTTTAGAATACACATAAAATACAGTTATAGTTTCTTTAAAAGTTTTCAAAAGACACACGTAGTCATACAACAGACATATAGCTTTGTAAACATAGGTTCTCTGACATATGTGAGGCAGCGCGGTAGAATCAGGCTCTCGTCAATTTTTGGGCATGTAGAGTTATTGGTATCATGGTAAAAATTGTTCACTTGTGTTTATTTGGATGAAAAAAATGTCCATTTATCTTGAATACAAGTCGAGGTATTTGCGAAACAAGGAGGTGGGTGTCACTTGTTTTCAGACGTAAAATCAGTGAGAAAATGGCCGCCAAAGATTAGTTATTTCCTTAGCTTAAGAGTCCGTGGTAACCGAAAAATTGCATTTTTGTGCCTTTAACCAACGTTTTTCAGGAAAAATCCACACAGAAATTAATTCTTTAATGGGCATGAAAGGTGTTGAGTCAAAAAACCATTTTTTTAAAAAAATATTCACAAACCCACGGAAAAATGCCACTTTCTTCACTTTGATTATTTTGACGAGAGCCTGATTCCACCATGCTGTCTGACATATATAATGCGTAGCTTCATTAACAAAAATTCTGCAATATTCATCTGATAGCCTCTAGCTTCATAAACACAATAGTTCTAAAGCACACATCGTAGTTTCATAATTCTAGAGATATCTAGACAATCTAGATCTAGATTAGATCTAGAATCTAAACAAGTAGATTCATAAACACACATACAACAACACATAACAATAATAAATATATTTATATCATAAACACAGATGCTGCAACACATAGATCTAGGCCTAATAATATATAATATTTATATCATAAACACAAATCATACATACATCATACATACAACACACATACAGTTTTTCAAACACAGAATCTACAGACGACAACATACCTGTACGTTTAGCCTCGGCGCTGTGTCTCAGCACTGTTATAATTGGCACAAATTCGTGTGAAGTCAAAGTCCTTGAGATTTGCTTCCACCGACCAAACTAACTCCCATAGACTTGTATCATTGGAAAACCCTAGATCGTGCAAAACGTATTAACCCTATCCGTGCGTCGTGTTTTACTATCGTATCCATACGACGTGGGGAACTCTGCGCCACCACTTTCCAGAGAGGAAATTTACTCGTTAATCCGAACCGTACGCTTTGCATAGCAGTCTGTCAAAATGATTTTTCGATAAAAACTGAAAGTTTCAAAGAGATCATTGCAATAAAAGTATTCTAAAATGTGAAGAATACAACTCCGGTGGTACAAAATGATCCCAGGGCGTACGGATAGGGTTAACGTCCGGTGTAAGATAGACTAAGCTATCAGCGGTCACATCGTGTTGGTAATTAATGTGAGATGTGCCGACCAAACGAGTAACTTCTCGCTATCCACGAATAGAGATGTCAGGTGCTGTTTTTGGTAAGAGTTTTACGGCGCCCGCAACTGCATAAGGTCATATGAGCGCGCGGGACACATTAAACATTTGCAGTTGGTAGGAAATTTTGAATTTTGCCCAGGTGGTGGCCGAAGCCTACTCTTATCGAGTTTAGACCACTAAGGGATTTTTAACTTGCGCAACTTGCACACAGACCTTCGAGATTTTTCACCTTTATCCGAGAAGGCTAGGTGTAGATCTTTCCTACCAGAAGACAAGGGGTGTGGCTGAAAGACAGCTGTAAGAAGGAGCCAAGGAGTAGCAGTAGAAAGGCTGCAGAAAAAGTCAGAAGCTCTGAGGAGGGAGCAAAGGAGATGAGAGGGTGGGTTCACTTTGGAGCATACTATCTGAGCTAACGAGCCAATCCTATTATACGGGTGCGAAGCATGGACAATCAATAAACAGCTGGAAATAACAATTGTGGCGACAGAGTTGTGGTTCATTAGACGCATGCTACGTATCCCATGGACAGCTAGAAAAACAATAAATGAAGAAGTCTTAGTTAAAGCAAATTGCAGAAGACAGCTTATGACGAATATTATACGAAAGCGATAGGCAAATTTCTTCGGACACACAATGCGGAAAGAAGCATTGGAGAATAATGATATTATAACAACAGACAAGTTTGATGGAAAGAGAGGCAGAGGCAGACAGAGGGAAAAGATACTGGACAAGATGACAACAAGGCTAGGAGCGGCAAGAACAACAGACACCATTGCTGCAACACAAGAGAGAGAGAGAGAGAAGTGGAGGTCCATGGTCGCCCACGCCAGTCGGCAAGGCACCGGATGATGGTGATCTGAGCTAAATGAAGTGCAATGCAAGGGGTCAGAAGCTCTGAGGAGGGGTGAAAAGGGGATGGGGGAGAAAGGGAGGGGGGTGATAAGGGGATGGTGGAGGAAAGGAGGGGGGTGTCCTCTATGGAGCTGACTGACTCAATTTTGAGCCAAAAGAGGATTGGAGGGGGTGGGATGGGAGGGGAAGGTTGATCTCCGTACACTAGACTGTACCGAGTCCTGCGTTTTGCCCTTCATTTTGGTGTGATGGCACGGCCTATGGTGCGTACGAAGCTTCGTTAGTTTTAGTAAGATTTTACGGCGCTCGCAACTGCATACGGTCATATGAGCGCCAAGGGGTGGATGTCAATAGAGAAATCCAAACGGGGAATCAGAACTTACTCTGCTCACCTCTCTAGCCTCAACAGCACAAAGTCTGCTCCGACTATCAAGGCACCCCGGGAATAACAGTTCACAAGAGAGTGACAAGCATAATATGTAAAAGAAGTAAAGAAAAAATGACGATAGTGAGGATGAGGAAAGAAAAAGCTGCTGTTCCCCTAATGTTGTTCCGGCACAATATATGAACATGACATTGATAAATCAGCCCATTTACAATTCCACTGAGCATAAGAAGATGTTAATGTCCCCCTTTTGGAAATGGCCTAAGACAACTTCAGTCAGTGGCACTGCCCTGAAAAGGGGCGGGGGCGGGGAAGCACGACGCTACACACCGACGTTTTAATCAAGAGAAAAGAGTGGCGTCCATGACAGTGCGTGGTCTAGGGCAACTTATATGTCTATGGGAACTCTATAGTGTTGTTTAGAACACCACATGAACTTTGACCGGGACTGTTCTGGAAGATGAGTTCACACACACAGTGCTGAGGGGGATTTTGAAAGGGATCTGTTCGTTAGTCTGTCCGTCAGTCTGTCTATCTGTATGTGTGTGTGTGTGCATGATAAATACATATAGCCCCATCCACATCCAGACACACACACACACACACACACACACACACAACACACAACACACACACACACACACACACACACACACACACA